TTGCCCCCAGATCAAATAAGCCAAAACCAGTAGCCCTCCAGTCTAATCCCATGAAACAGTTTGGAACAGCTCCTAGTATATGCTTTTATAAGTCAGTTTGATTTCTCAGCTATAATAGTTAAAAGTTCCTTGTCAAAATATGACAGCTGCAATAAAAATTGGCCTAGCTGCCTTCTAAGCTGAACTACTGGTATTGTGACATGGAAATTGGGGAAAGTCTAAGCTCTTGAAACAATGCCTCTGAAGGGGCCTGAAAGCAAAGCTAATGCAGCCACACTGTGTTGGCTCAGCATAGGAAGTCACTCTGAAGCTCACCTGTATTTCCAAATGAGGTGTTCATGCTGGGACACTTGATTGGCTCTTTTACAGTTTAACCAACTTCTAAATGTTATTTTAAATGGGGAACATTTGACAAGAAAAGAAGTAACTTTTAAAATTAACTAAGCAGGGAGAGGACATTATGAAGGGCTGGTGCCAGACTGGGGAGTAGGAGGGGGTATTTTATGATGTGATTACCTGGTATAGTTGCACTAATGGAAATAGGAAAAGTTCATAAACAACTGCAGTTGGCTGGTTTAATAATTTAAAGGATGGCTCCTTAGTGAAATAACTCTCTGTTTTGTAGTTCCCCGTATCTGATGGTCTTGGAAGCACTTTGCAACCATTTTAATAAAGCTTCAGCAGATCCTCGGCAGGAGAGGTAAGCAAGAGATTGCTAGGGCCAAGCTGTGGCTGACAATCTTTGCATAATTAGCACTGTGTATGGAAGAGGGAGGGTGTTTAAAACATTTTGATAACATACAAAACAATCTTGCCTCTGTTCTTTTTATATTATCTATGTTTTGGCATTTATAGCATTGTTTATCATTTTTGTAAGCGGGTTTAATGATGTTTCATTAAAGCAAAGTGCATGTAGAAAGTGCCACCAGGTGCTGCCAAGTAGTAAGCAACTGTCCAATGACAAAATGTCAGTGAATGCACACTGCCGAAGTCTCCAGCGATCTACAGTAGACTATAGTGGGGAATGCGGTTAAGATGCTTGTGCCTTTAAACCTGTTGACAGCCAAAGAAGCTGTAGGTGGAAGAGATTTGCAGGACTGGGACCCCCTTGCAGTCCCTCTCTTACCATGACTTTTGCTCTGCTGTGCTGAGATCTAAACTGTTTCTTAAAAATATGGTCTATTCTGGGACTTGGGGGAGACTGGGTCCAGGTAACAATTCATCTGTTCCCAAATGTGCTGCTTGGGAGCTGGGTCTCAGTGGCTGGGGTCATCGGCTTCCATACTTGCAGTGTTCAGCGCTCTGTGCGGGCTGGCATCCAAGTGTCCTGGCTCTAACGCTGGCACTTTTGGGGGGGGGGGGGGGCCCGGGGGGGTT